TATACAATTCAGCATATCCTACAGCAATTACTATTGTAGTGAATGAACCTTAACCATATACAATTCATGTGCAGAGTGATTCATTGAACAAAAAACTGATTTTTTTTTTTAAAAGCTAAAACCAGTAGCATATATTAATTCTGTGCTGGTGGTGGTGCCCCTTTGCAGGACCTACTATTGTGTCCTCGTGCACCACATTTTTTACATGTCATTATCATCCCTGCTCTTTTCCTTGGATCTGATGTGACTGTAGCTGACTGACTCTGACTTAAAGAAGTCTTTCTAGACCTCTTTGACTGACTTGATGTCACTTCATTTGGCTCTTTCCTTCTTTTTTTTTTTTTTTTGGCCTTCCAACTCTTTTTGTGTACACTGGTGATCGAGAGGATTGAGACTTGGGTTAGGCCATGAGTTCGAGCCTATGACGGGGGAGATGGATAGAGTATAAGTCATGAGGTATGTCTCCTTCTTGTAGATGCCATCTACATACTCCATTACATTAAGGCCCCTCGATGCAACCAAGGCAATAACATGGTGATAAGTGCGTTTTTACATATTTTACTGTCAAAATATGAGCAATTGTTGATTAATATGTTGGAATATAGTTTAATTCTATGCAATTCATGTTTTGCAGGACAAGTGATGAATGTGGCGGAAATAATGAGAAATAAGTGAAAAATAACCAGAATGGAAGAAAGTGAAAGTTCAAGGACTAAAGTGCAAATACTCAAAAATTATGTCGAAANGATAAGTGCGTTTTTACATATTTTACTGTCAAAATATGAGCAATTGTTGATTAATATGTTGGAATATAGTTTAATTCTATGCAATTCATGTTTTGCAGGACAAGTGATGAATGTAGTGAAATAAGGAGAAATATGTAAAAAAAATGACCAAAATGGAGGAAAGTGAAAGTTCAGGGACTAAAGTGTAAATACTACAAACTTGTTTCCAACCTTGTGATGAAGATTCGAGAGTGTTAGAGGTCAACTGGATGAAAAAAGGAGTCAGATGGGTGAAATATAGTCAAGACATTATCTCATATCAACTTTCAAGCTGAAAAGTTTTGCACCGGTTTTCAGCCTCATATGGAGACTAGTTTTTGACATGGTAAACAATGGAATTGGAAGTTGACATTTGAAGTAAAGTTGTAGCCCTTTAAGTTATATTTCCAAAGAATCTTAAATCACTTCAATCGGACATCGGGAACGAAAATTATGACCAAAATACTAAAAGCTATCCAGCGGGAAAAATACATAACCATGCGATCGCATGGTGTTAATCCCATGCGACCGCAGACAAGCATTCAGGGACTTTAAAGGCTGAAATTATTTGTTTCTTGCGACCGCATGAGTTTATGCCTTACAATCGCATAGGGTATTTTCAAGGCAAAAATTCTGGTTTCCGAATTTAAATCAACCACTTATGATAACTTATTTT